AAAATGTAGGAAAAACAAGAAAGTTCTTCCTGAGAGAGGACATGTGTCTGGTGAAATTTTGGTCTCTCAGTGGTGGATCAATTACGGCCTCACCCTGGCCCAGCTCTGGTGACATTCTAGGCTACAAACTCCTTGGTTTCTGGACCTTCTCAGTGTTGGACAGAAGGCAGCCATGCACCATCAGAAATACCTACCAACTACCTGGCATTTTAGTCTTACTCCGAGGGGAGGAAAGCAAGACAGCAGACGTTTTTGTTCTGCCTTGCTTCCCACTGACATTTATAATGAGACAGGAATAGGCCGTGCCAAAATCATACCCACTCACCACATTAAAAAAGAAGTGTGTTTTCCATTGATTTGAGACAACAGCTCTGTGGTCTGGGCTTTTTCCAACTTGATAGAACCAGAGCAAGGACAGCAAATGACCCAGGAATGGGTGAAACTCTGCCACTTGTGGCGAGAACCAGCTGGTGGGTGGACACATTATGAACCATATCAGGGAGGCTGAAAAATGGGATCGACTTTCGAACCCAGTAGTCTCATGTTAAAATGTTGTGTTAAAATGTCAAGAAGTTAGAAGACAGTAAAACACACCAACTTTGACTCTGATTTCTTCTTTGGCAAAATACGAACAAAAAAATAAATCATTCTTATCGATAAAGCTAACAGCTGTCCATCAAGAGAGCTGAAGGCTGCTGACCTTCTGCCAAGGTCAGTCATCTGGAGAGTGTGTCCTCATGTGCCAAATGCACGGCTTCTCAAGGCACAGCCACTTGGGTTTGAAAACGGGCTACATCGGCAGAGCCACTTAACCTCTCAGAGCCTCTGCTTCCTTAGTTTTCACTTGAGAGGTGGGGCTGCAAGCTCACCAGGTGTCTTCTAAGGCACCACTCTACAAAGAGTTTTTAGAGAAGACGGGATGAGGACAATTGCACAGAAAGGGTTTGGATCTTTGAGGTCTTGACCATGGCCCACGGTGTCCTCTCCATCCTTTGATATACCCGATCAAGACCCCCCACATGCTAAAGAACACAGCCCACCCCACCCCTCCAGTCTTTTGTCAATGAGCCATGAACAAACCATACACAGAGAGAAGCTTCTTTTTTTCTTCAATTTAATTGAAGTTACTTAGAAAAATAATCAGGTTTGAATGGCTTTTCCCGGAGGAAGGTTCATGAACATTTCACGCTTTCGTTGGCAATGTGGAATCCAGCTTTCTTTTACAGTAAAATACAGGGAGTTTCCTACAATAAGCCCTCTACTGCATACAAATATGTAAAAAAAAATCACACACCACAAAGATGTTAAATTATATGTCCATATGCCATATTGCGCATGCTCATAAGAACAGTACAGGCAGCCCGTTCTGTACCTGACAGAGTAGCAGACTGACATCCGCCTGTTAACAGCTAAGGGTCAAGCTGGTTGTATCAGATCCAGTTGTCTGTCCGTAAGGTCCATTTGGTTGTGATGGAAAAGTCTGGTTGTGAGAACGTGGGGGAGCAATGGGATCAGACCTGCTGACATAGGGGTGGGGCAGGAAGGGGTGCTGGCCATGGGGATTTCACAGAATGGGGAAGCTTAGATTGTGTGTGTATGTGTGTGTGGGGGGGGAGAGGACCCAACGGTGAGAGATGAGCTCTGAGCACCGCCCACCGGGCTGCTTGCCAGGCTGAAATGGGGTTTTCTGCCATCACTTCCTCAGTACTGGTCCAGACCCCACCTGTTAAAGGAGTGCTAGGGACTCCCTTTGTTATGGGAACCTTCTACCACCTTCCTTGTATTTGTCAATAGGACTACTGGTCAGGTTCCCACTGCCCATCACTCTCCTGTGGCATCCAGATGCTGAACAAGCAGGACAGTGAAGCTCACCTGGTGGGCAGGTAGGAAGGTCGCCTCTGAGACACTGCGCGCCAGCAGACTGCCCTTCTTCCCAGGCCAGCTGGGGAGGGCACAGAGGGGGGTCCAGAGAAGCTGCAGGAATTTGCGCTCTGTGACTAATACTTTTCCTACCACAGGGACTGGGGAAGCAGGAATGTCCTTGCGAATACTACCCTGACTATACCTGGTTTAAAAACAGCACCTCTGAAAAGTGGCTGGAGATGGAACATCTGCCTGTACTTTTCTCTGGTTACGCATGCACCAAAAAGCGTTTTCACTTTTCTTAAAAAACAAAACAAAACAAAAAAGACCCCACAGAGGAACTTTTTTTTTCCCCAGGCACATTTTCACACATGGATTTTTTTTTTTAAACCAAGGACACAGAATACTTTTCTGCAAAAGCAGTTGAATCAGTTTTTTTTCCCCTAACTTTTTATGCCATTAAAAATGTGAACACAAAAAAAGCATCCCTAGAAAGCGTCCCTCATGGCAGAGTCAGACTGATGTGCCGTCCCCTGAGGGACAATCTTTCTCATTTGAGAGAGAGTGAGAGAAGACAGAAGACAAAAGGCAATCTGCAGGCAGGGCTGGATGAGTTCACACCATTGGATCAAAGACAGATACAGAAATGCAAAACTTGGGGAATCTATGTGAATTTCCATTTAAAAACCAAAAAAGCTCCTAGTGAACAATTCCAAAGAGGGAATTGAAAAAGCGCTTGTAAGCTGTTGGGCTCACTTAGCTCCAGTGAGCAACCTTGAAGTCTTTAGGAAGAGACAGGTCACTCTGTGACCTTGGCTCCCTCCCTCCTTCCCTCCCTTCTGTCCACACCACCCAAGGGCGCTCCACTTTGCTTGGGAGAGCTGGAATCCTTGCCCATGGTCGTACCCAGGAATAGAACCATTGCACTTAAGTTCAAGTTGAACTCATTAGATAAAGTACCTCTGTGACTATAAACCAGATGGAGACTGTGACACTGTGGTGCTGTTTCATTTATTTATTTAATTTTGGGGTTTTTTGACTTTGGAGGGGGTTTGAGGAGGCAGGTTTTTTTTTTTTTTTTTTCAATGAAAATGACCTCAGTTGTGCTGAATCAACCTACCCAAAGTAGATCCTGTGGAACAAGCTCTGTGAGATGATTTGCAAAATAGAGTCCCCTGGTCATGTGTGTTCGGGTCATGCTACCACCTAGATGATACTCTTGGGGGTTCACAAGGCACAGCACATGATCAAGGCTCTGAAAAGTCCTGTAGAAAAGAAGCTGTCTTAATTTTGTTTCCCAAGGAGATCTAACCACAAAACTCATTTTTCATCACACCAATTTGATGTCCCCCTGGGAGAACCTGGGTTCTCCAGAATATAGATCAGAAAATGCTTGCTGACCTGTTTCATTAGCTCTATCTCTGAGGAAAATGTCCCCTGCCCAGAAAGAAGGTTCAGACTCCCAATTCCAGGGACAGCTGAGGTCTGTCATTCTACTTGGTAAAATACACAGCATAAATCTCTGTCCATCGAGGGCATACCTGCCTTGCCCTTCAAAGTGGAGAGAAATTGGAAGAAAGTATACAAATTTTATAAATAGCTTTGGCCACCTTCTCAAGTGCACACCTCACTCGCATTCAATAAAATAATTTCCTCAGTGAGATGTGGCAGCTGCTGCTCACTGAGCTGGCTGTGAGCTTTACAATACAATTTTAATAGTTTCTGTGAATAAATTACTCATTTTTTGTTTGTTTAGAATAGTCTTCACATCCCTTCGCTATATACTGCATTAAAAACAAAACAAAAAGCAAAACTTACACCCCGTCCCACCCCGCCCCCTATTATTAGAACTATTATTATTATATACAGTATCTGCTACCAAATCATTCACTAGTTGTAAGAGGAATGTGGCTCAAACTTCAACCAAGGTGTTGGAAATGAGAAGCATGGGCAGATGTCATGAGCGAGGAACAGGAATTGAATCTCCAGCCTTCCAAAGGAAAAGGGGCATGGACTAAGATCACAGAAGGCTGTCCTTGCTGCTCATGCATGGAGGTTGTGAAGGTGGCGCTAGTCTCCTAACCTTTGGAGGACTTGGGAGCGGGTATGCGTGTGCATTTGTGTACAAGCAGTCCACTCTGATCTTCGCGAGGGGTAGAAGTGCCAATCCACTGCAAATCCCTGAATATAGGAGTCCTGTCACTCTTTTACAGGTTTAAGAGTAGAAAAGAGCTGGAGACATGGGTGTGTGTGGGGCTGGAGATGACAGGAGGAGGCACTTGACGTGGCGTAAGTTCCCCTTCCCTCACCCAAGGCAGACATCACTAATCAATCACAGAACTCTTCCACACTGTCCCTGGCAAATTTGTTCTGGGGCTTAAAGATGGATACTTCCTATAAATTGGAGCAGGCCCATGATCGGAAACATTTTCATCACCTCTCAGGTTGGGCAATGAGCTTGGACTACTCACCAAGTGACCAGTTCCAATCATGTGGTTTTCCAATCTAGGCCATAGGCAAATATATATTTGCAGGGGCCATGGACTAACTACTCATGAATAGTTCAAGCCTCATGTTAAGTCCACAAATATCAGGGATTTGCTAACTTTCAAGCTGGGTAATCCATGTCCATGTAAAGCTTCTTGAGGGCTGAAACTATTGGTTCTGTCCACTGCTCTATCTGCAGGGTCTAGAATCAGGCCTTGCACATAGTAGTTGCTCAATAAATACTTGTAGCCTAGAAAGCAACAGCCACTTCACCTTAATCACAACTGGCACTGCCAGTTTAAAATTACTGTAGAAAAGCCTATTCTATGAGACTGCTAATTCTGGTGGGAAAAAAAAAAAGCTACCATCAGCTCTCTCCTTGGGTTAAAAAAAATCACATTTGTTTAGTTGAAGGGACATTAAGGGAAATCAGTCTGAATTTAGTCCCTTGCTAAGGTGCCTCTTTCTGTTTATTTCTAAGAAAATTGCAAGAATGGTGGCATCAGCACACATAGTGACTCTGAGCAGTCAGGAAGGAGAATGTTCACGCCCCCAGATGAGCTTTAGCAAGCACAGAAGGAAACAGATTTCTTCTGCAAAGACATGAGAATCTTGCTGCCACTCAAAGAAATCTATAGAGACCATGTTTAAATAACTATAAATAATATTCATTAGAATTTATGGAATGCACAGTCCATGGAATTCACCAGAACACAAGGAAACCTTTGAGACAGTGTTGCAGTACTCATGTCTAAAAGACAAGGACACGATCCTGTTCCCCTCGCAAAGACAGCTGTCCTTCCCTACTAGGATTTTAAATAATTCTCGCTATGCTGCTCGCAGCATCATCCCCAAAGAAATATTAATTTACAAAATAACCCAATATCCATATAATTCTTTTGACAAATAAAAATCTTAAATTAAAAAGCACGATTCTCTCCCTCTCCCCACCCCCTTATTCCAATTTCAGGTAGCTTGGCACTGAGTAATTGAACATTAAAAAATCGAGTTTGTAGACTTCGTACAGCTGCGTTTGGTGCTCGGAGCTGATGTTCTGGAAGAATTCTGTGGTCATTTCATCAGTAGTTCTCGTAGACTTGGCATAGGTGGGGAACTTCAGGTAGCTGCCCACGCCTGCCAGCTGCAGGACGTAATTAGAATCCTCCTCCAGCGTCTCATATTTGCCCACCAGGTCGTAATGGATGTGGCACGGGTGGCACAGGGAGTAGACGGTCTGCCAGTGTTCGTTGAAGGGCTCCTCGCGCTGGGTGTGCGGGTCGATGAGATAAGCCACGAACTCTTCGAACTTGACGTCGCCACCTTTGCGCAGCGCCTCCTGGGTGGCATTCTTGCGCTGGCGCTTGATGATCTTGGTGCCATACCGCTTGTGGAAGGACGTGTTGTACTTCTGGGTGAACTTGTTGCGGTAGGCGGACACCAGCCTCTCGAAGGGCTCGCGCACGAACAGGAACTTCATGTAGCTTTTCAAGCGGTGGTTGATCTCTGGGATGCTGTACTGGTTCAGGGTCTTGAGGTTGGCAGACACGTGCGCCTCGTTGGCCGGGATCTCCATGGGGTCGCTGTACTTACCGCGCCCGGTCAGGACCATCATGAGGCGCTTCCAGTTGGTGCACGCCACCTTGGGCACGTAGCAGTAGATGAGCTCGTGGTCCTCGTCCACCACCAGGTGCTTCAGGTCGTTGGGGGTCAGCACCCGCCGCTTGCGGCTCAGGGCGCTGTTGGCGCGGCACGTGTCTGTGACCTGGTCCCGCCGCATCTGGTGCAGGACGGCCGTGTTGGAGAGCTCCAGCTGCACAGGGGACACAAGGGGAACAAGAACTCAGCACTTGGAGGGGTTACTTGCCTGGGTCACATCCCCAACTCGTCGGCTAGTGCCAGCTTGCCCACAGGGACTTAACTTCCATTTCTTTTTTTTTTCCCTAAAGATTTATTATTTATACAAGAACTGGGGTATAGTCAGAGGTGTGGGAGGGTGAAAGAATTCACCAGAGACAGAGCGGGGAGCAGAACAGGCAGAAGGACCGAAGTACACTGCTGAGGGGAGCAGCAGGCGCGGCAGGAGAGGTCTGCCGTGCCATGTGGGTTTCTCCTTGACCGGCCAGGAATCGAGCCCGCGCTGCAGAGGCTGTGGACAGCTTCACAGTGCAGCGCTCAACCCGCTGAGCCACTGGGGAGGCCCTCGGCTTCCATTTCTAAGGCCCCATCTGCTGTCTCAACTCTTTTTTGTTTTTCGTTCCACCATCCTTCCTTTGTAGGATAATAATAACCATCAACTCTAGAAGTCATCCATCACCCTCTACACACCTGACATTTTACCTGAGCGTCATATGTCTTTTCTCCCTACAACCACCTCGGAATGTTAGTTGATTCATTTCACAGTATCAAGGACTGGCCACTGTGCCAGAAAGGGTGCCGGGCACTAGAGATGGAGTAATAAAAATGTATTGCTCTTGTGGCGCTTACAGACTAGATAGAAAGAGAGACTGGAGGCTCAGAGAGGTTACATCACTGACTTGAAATCACACAGCATTCAAACTCGAGTTTACTTGGCAACCAACTCTGCTCAATTTCCACTCACCCCAGGTTCCATCTTTTTTTTTTTTTTAAGATTTATTTGCTTATGCATACACGAGCTGGGGTACAGGCCAGAGATGCAGGGGGTGAGAAGAGCCACCAGAGACAGAGTGGGGAGCAGAACAGGCAGGCTGGCTGAAATACACTGCTGAGGGGAGCAGTGGGCGAGTCAGGAGAGGTCTGCTGTGCCATGTGGGTTGCTCCCTGGCCTGCCGGGGATCGAACTCATGCTGCAAAGGCTGCGGATTGCTTCATAGTGTGGTGTATAACCCCTTGCGCCACCAGCGAGGCCCCAGGTTCCATCTTTTTGATTGAAGTGGGAAGAAAGCAAGGAGGACACATATTTGATCAATTTTAAAGTGAGGGGGTCCCCATTCTCAACAACTGTTGCTTTTTGTTTCCTTGGGTACTGCCTGAGATTCCGCTGCTCTCCATCCAATAATTTTGAGCACATTGATAGACGTTATAAATGTGTAAGAGAAGATGCCATCATGTAAAGGAAAGGTTTATAGAGACTGATAAGGAAGGGGATGAGAACGGCGCCAAGTAGACAGAGGATGAGGCTTGAATCAGAAGATCTTGGGTACACCCTTACCTTTCTGAGCCTCAGCTCTCTCATTTGCAAAATGGGAGCAGTATCCCTACCCCCTACCCCAGCCCCCCACCAGGGTGTTGGCTTAATATTTAGACAATAAGCTCAAATCTGGTTCAGAATTTGGAAACTACAGTAGGTAGTTAATATGCATGCATGCCTTTCTGAAGGAAGAAAAAAGAAATCCCCCAAAAGGAGGCCAGGAATCTTAGAGCAAATCTCATCAGTGCTATAACTTTGTTGCAGACCAACCCTAGGTCATGAAATTCAATCAGTGTTTATTTTGAGCAGGCAAACTCTGACTTTTGCTTCCCTTAACTTCTTAGCAGCTGTACTCACCACCTCACAAACAGCATTCAAGCCGCTTACCAACCAAACCAAAACCAAACCACCCTACAGGAAACAGAAGGACTTGGAAGGAAAAAAGGGCCATTGATTTTGCCCATTTGAATTGTTATGGATGGTTTTGAAGGTAATAAATGATTACATGAGCAGAGAAACTAGGGGATTCCTCCCTATACCCTCCAGCTCTTTTCAGTTTGAGACAATTTTCTGCCACCCCCGCCCCCCAAATCTTCAGGGAGGCCACGTGTCAGTTACTACTGCATTCAGGACCGCGGCCGCAAAACCATGAAAAATGGAAATGATATCACAGTCTCCTTTTACGTCCAATTGCAGAGACAGAAAATCACTCAGTGGGGCTTTGGAATGTGACATTTAAGGTTCTTTCTCTTCCGTATCCTCCTCCTCCACGGCACTTTAGGAGGCAAATGGTGTACCTGCTGCAATGAGCCACGCACGATTTCCCTCCAAAGACCTGAGGGTCCTGTCAAGTGCAGATGCCTGTTCTCAGACCCGAGACATACCCAGGGCCCTTCTCCATGGGAGAAATTCACTAAGCCTTGAGTGTTGCCATTTTTAACAAAATATTTTTGTATGTGTTGTGTTTTTAGCTTATCTTGTTTACTCTTATTTTTACATCACTGTTCATTTTTAAACAATATTTGCTTCCCCTCCCCCCCAGATGTAGACCCTATAGTTTCCTTCCCCAATGCACCCGTGCACCATCACTTCAGTCCCCTGTGCTCCTCCCTCCCTCCCTCCGATCCCTCTCCCTCCTCCTCCCCTGCAGGATGTCTCTGATTTAAAATTGTCTGTTATGTTTCGTATTGTTATTTTTTTACACTGATGTCTTATTGGGTTCCCCTATATTCCTGCTCTAAGTGAAACCATCCGATATTTTTCTTTTTCCTCCTGGCTTATTTCACTGAGCATCATTCCTTCTAGCTCCATCCACGTTGCTGCGAATGGCATGAGTTTATCTTTTTTGATTGCTGAATAATATTCCATTGTGTATATATGCCACATCTTCTTGTTCTATTTTTGGGCATTTGGGTTGTTTCCAGGCTTTACCTATTATAAACAGAATGTTTATAATACAGGTGTTCTTTTGAATCAGTGTTTTCATGTCCTTTGTGTAGATCCCTAGGAGTGGAATTGCTGGGTCATATGGCAGCTCCATTTTTAGTAGACTGAGGAGCCTCCACACAGCTTTCCATAGCGGTTGGACCAGTCTGCACTCCCACCAGCAATATAGGAGAGTTTCTTTTTCACCACATCCTTGTCAACATTTTTTTTAAGATTTATTTATGCATACAAGAGCTGGGGTACAGGCCAGAGATGCAGGGGGTGAAAGGATTCACCAGAGACAGTGGGGAACAGAACATGCAGATTGACCAAAGTACACTGCTGAGGGGAGCAGTGGGCGAGTCAGGAGAGGTCTGCTGCGCCATGTGGGTTGCTCCCTGGCTTGTCAGGATTCGAACTCATGCTGCATTGGCTGCGGATTGCTTCATCGGTTGTGTGTTAACCCCTTGTGCCACCAGGGAGGTCCCTCAGTTTATTTCTTATGGAGAAATTGGGGGACTGGCTTTCTTCCATTGACCACTGTTATAATTCCCTACAGCCTGGTGTCTACAGAATGCTTCAGCATTTCTGGAACTGTCTCATTAAAAGGACCCACTGGCGCCACTCCAGAGCCTGACAGAAGGTTCCCTTGCAGCAGATCAGCCTGTACTTCAACTGCAGGTCAGTCCTTGGAGTGGGCTGGCTGTCCCAGGCATTAAGAATACGCCACGTTAATGGTTCTCAGTTTTGTTTTTTTAAGATTTATTTATTTATGCATACAAGAACTGGGGTACAGGCCAGAGGTTCAGGGGTTGAGAGTATTCCCCAGAGACAGAGTGGGGAACAGAACAGGCATATCTACTGAAACCCACTGCTGCTGATGGGATCAGTGGGCTAGACAGGAGAGGTCTGGGGGTCATGTGGGTTGCTCCCTGGCCGGCTGGGGATGGAACTCGTGCTGCAGAGGTGCGGACAGCATCACGGTGCTGTGCTTAACCCCTTGTGCCACCGGGGAGGCCCACAATTCTCCATCTTTAACATACATGGAAATCACCCAGAGGACTTGTTAGAAGATACCTTGCTGGCTTCCCCCTTGAGTTTCCAATTCAGCAGATCAGGAACAGGGTCTGAGAATGTACATTTCGAGCAAGTTCCCAGGTGTGTGAGCTTGTTAGGGCTGCCATTACAAAATACCTCCATCTGGGGTCACCTCTCTGTACACATTTGTCCCTGGTGTCTCTACCTCATTATAAGGTCCCTGTCATAATGGCTTAGGGCCTCACCAACCAGCTCACATTAATGCAATCACCTTTTTTTTTTTTAAAGAGGCATGTATTTTTATTTATTTGTTTGTTTTGTTTGTACATGCACTGGGTACAGTCAGAAGCGCGGGAGGGTGAGAGAATTCACCAGAGCCAGAGCGGGGAGCAGAGCAGGCAGAAGGACCGAAGTACACTGCTGAGGGGAGCAGCAGGCAGCAGGAAAGGTCTGCGGGCCCTGTGGGACCCTCCTCCAGAGGCCGGGGATCGAACCAGCGCCGCAGAGGCCGCGGGCAGCTTCGCAACCCAGCGCTCAACCGCTGCGCCACCGGGGAGGCCCAATGCAATCACCTCTTTTAAGGCCCTATCTCCAAATACCTTTACACTCCAAGGCACTGGGGGCTGGGGTTTCAACATATGAACTGAGTCAGACTTGACTCATCCATTAACCCTGTATATGCGGATAATCCTGCTGGCGTGGGGACTACACTGTGAGCCGCAGCATTTCGCGATGAGGAAATGACTATAACGGTTCTGCGTGTCTTTCAGCAACTCCTAGCCATCCACCACAGAACCCAGGTCTATCGTCTGCTGCCAGGAAATCCTAGATCTCTCCTCCACACTTGCCTCCACTCCCCTCATGCCCTTTCATCTCCCCAAAGTCTAAATTAGGTCAGAGGGAAGCTGGTGCTAGGAATGATGGGTGTGGCTTCGGGCTTGGACCATGTCCTGCGTCCTCGTGTAGATGTTGATTTTTAATTTGGACATTTAAAAAAGGCAACCACATAGTTTAAATCCCAAATGTAGGCACTACATGAAGTCTTTAAACTCTACTACGTTTCATCTTAAAGGGAAGAAAAGCTGGCCTCCTGAAATCAAAGCATCTTCTGTGGTGTTTTTGTTTTCCCTCAGACAGCGTGGCCAGCTGCCTGGCTCTCTGCCCCGGTGCCCTCAGGTGGGGCGATGCAGGGAAATGGAAACCTGAAAAATGGCAGATGGAGCTATCAGGTGAGTCTAGGGTGGGGGGCTGGGGGTGGAGGGAGGGGGTCAGACTCTGCCATTAACAACTGTCAGCTTGAGCCCAGCCTCAGTCTCTTCACTTAAAAGTCCCAATTCAACCCCCTTCCCCAGCACCTCAGCTGCGGAGCCACCAACCTGGTGATTTTAGAATTGGGGGATCAGGAGGAGAACCTGGTGGTCTGATCTGCTGTGATTCTGTCTTACCCTTCCTTCTGGCACTGAAATTCCTAAACCCTTAGGGAAAGGGCTAGTTAGGAAGAATTGCTGAAGTCACCTCCACAGCCAGGAGGCGGCACACACTCACACCAGCTGCTGCTCCCTGCACGTCGTAGGTACCAGGCCCGGTGGGTACCAGCCCCGCTGGAGACAGGCACCGCTCGTGTCCCCATGACCGGGTGGGGAAACCTAGGGCAGGGAAAACGAGTCATCCGTTCAAGATCAAGTGTCTAGGGGCTGGGGCTTGGCCCCCCTGGCAGTCACCAGCTTCAGGACAGCAGCTGGGATCACAGGGACAGTGCTGGGCCCGCTGTGCAGAGCTGACGGAACGGCTCTGGGCACGGCCGGCTCCCTGGAGTTCCCGCAGCTGCCCGGGTGGAGACCTCTGCCTTCAATGCCAGCAGCTAGCAACTAAAGCCCACCCTGGACTCGGCAGTGCCCTGAGTGTGATCCTGGGGAAGTTGTAGCTTCCGGGTCCTCAGATTCAAAATAAGGGGTTTTCCATTCAGAAGGCACAGGGATCAAAGGTGCAGAAACCAGTTCTCAGGCCTCAGTGTGGTGCCTCCCTAGGACACCCCTGGGGTTACAGAATACCTCAAGGCTTCTGTGCTTAGAAAAGTAGAGAAACGGATCAGCCTTTAAAGAAATAATCTTGTCTGAACTTGCTGCCAACCTTAAAGGTGTTAGGAAAGAAGCAAGTCTAGGCTAAGTGACATTAACGTTGCCAGGGAAATTGGTTTCTTAGGATTTGAACTTGTCACTAGGGAGATGCGTGCTGCAAGACTGAATCTCTGCAGGAGCTTGCCATACCTGTCCGAAACTAAAGGAGGCCTGGAGGCTGAGGTGAGAAACACTGGGTGGCCTATGGCTGGGCCTGGGTCTCTGGATGCAGCCCTGGCCAAAGAGAGCTGATCGAATCTGAGCTGTATTTTAACCTTGGGAGCTTTGTGGGCAGAAGCGTGTTAGGGTACCTCTTTCATATACAGGGCTTCAATCTGGTGACCCGAGTCCAAATCACAAATTCAAATGCCCTCTGGGGTCAGCAGGGAGCCCCTGGGCCGCCCAAGGTGGGAGTTGCTCGGCCCTGCTGGTGCTGTCATGCAGGAAAGGGAGCCTGGTCTGTGAGGCATTTCAGTTCTTAAGGCAGAAACCCACATTTTATGTGTAACCTCTGCTTTCTTCAAGGTTAGCTATAAAAAAATCACTTTTTCACTGCTGCGGGCCAAACCACTTACTCGTCTTGGCTGGGTTTGCATGCGGGTCACCAGTGGGCACCTTCTTCCTGGCTAGTAAGGAGGTCCCCTTGTGGAGAGGGCTCTTCTGAGCCCCCGTTTCCTCCAACCCAGCTGCCCCTGCTTGGTGAATGGCACCAGTAGGCAATTGTGGGGGTGCAGCAGGCCAGACCTCGGGTGTGCAGACAGCACTCACAGGAACACTCTCAGCCATGGGAGTTATGAAAACCCACTCAGCTCTCTCCATGCCCAGGCTGGCTCCCGCTCTCTGTCATGCTCAGCAACTTCTCACACTCATCACAACTTATGTCTCTTCCCTTCTGGAATGCAACTGGGAGAGGGCAGGTAGTTTTCACTTTTTTGTTTGCTCTGTGTCCCCAGAGCCTGGCCTGTGCTGGACACAAAAGCTTGTTGAATGGGTGACTCAATGGATGAATGCATGTGTGCCCGACCCCGGGGCTGGGGGGACTTTAAAGGCCACAGCCTGGTGATGAGGCTTCCTGGGGCCTCCACCTGCAGCCCCACCTCTTCCCATGGAGGATCTGGGCACAATTCTGCAGCTGCAGCATCAGTCCAGAGGCGGGAGGCCAAGAGAGGAGCAGCTGCGGCTCTGAGTGTTGGGTAGAAACGGGCTCCAGTGGTTGCATCAGCCTTTGATGAAGGGGGAAGCAGGCACTTTCCTCCCATCTGGTGAGGCCAGAGAACAGGAGGGGAAGCACAGAGAGGGCACCGGCACCAAGGCTGCCCGGGAGGGCTGGGCCGGGGGCGGGGGGTGCCTGCTGCCAGAGCTTCCTTTCAGCTTGGCCAGGTGCAGCTGGAAGGCCTCTTTTCCATCTCAGATCAGCTGTCTGGGCTTCCGGAGGCCTGGGCAGGGTGCGGGGGGTGCAGGAATAGGCCTGGGGTGGCTGCCAACTGGACCGGCTTCCAATGAATGGTGGCCCAGAACAGGGACAATGGCGGGGAAGGGCCCAGGCTGCCGCAGCGCTCTCAAGCCTGGATTTCCTGGGGAATCAGAAGTCAGAGGGCGGACAGCAGGTGCACCTGCCAATGGTGCTTGGGGTGCTTGAATGCTGCTCTTGCACTGGTGGCAAGAGGGGAGCAGGGAGGATTCCCACTCACAGCCCAGGACCACTCATGCCTCTTGCAGGTTGAGGACAGCATCGCCTCCCAGGGGCCTGCCAGAGGGTGATGCTCTTTGGGTGAGTCAGGGCGTTTTCGATTTCTCCCTCCCTACACCCCCTCACCTGCTCCATTTTCTCTCTCCTTTGAGCCAATTAACTTCACTGGTTCTTTCCCTGCTTCTCTTTCTAGATTGAGCAGAATGTTCTACCACTCATTTGCCTGGATCACTGGGCCTCTTCAGGTCTTAGTTTCCCCATTTGCAAAATGGGGACAATACGTTGTATGTATCAGCATGGCTTTGGGGAGTCACTGAGAGCTCACAGGCTAAGTGAACTTAGCACCACACCCAAGACCGAGGAGAACCCAATCCACATGCTCCTGGTTGTTGCAACTATTACAGAGGGCGCTGAGCACAGCCAGCACATCGGTGCCTCCTTCCTCTGCTAACCACATTGTTCATCTTTAGCGCACGAGCCACCCCAAAGAGCACCACCCTCCAGGAGGCGATGCTGTCCTCAACCTGCAAGAGGCATGCGTGGTCCTGGGCTGTGAGTGGGACTCCTTCCTTTTTCTGCCCCCTTTCCAGTTATTTCAAGCACCCCAAGCACCAGTTGGGTGTTGTAGGAAAACAGAGTCCTAGAAACCTGCTGAGTGGGTGACTCAGGGGATCTGATCTCCTTGGGGAGCTGCCTCGGGGTGGTCCCGCCTCCCATTTTGATGACTGCTGGTTGAGCAGCACACGCGAGCGCTGCAGCTGACATCACACACATTTGTCATCTGTGCAAACGCCTCGCTCACGGCGATTCAATACCTCACTGTCACGGGAGACAGAGAGAAGCAATTGGGGGCAACTTGAATTGGCAGCTGTTAAGCAAATTGGAGGTCTAAAGGGCAATTTTCTAGCTATATAGAGATTAGCTATTAATATGTCTTAACAGGCTGTACAGTCGTCTGGAATGTCAGAGCCGGGGAGCTACGGATGGAGAGACACCCAAGAAGGCTGGTTTCTTTCTTAAGCAAATCACATGTTTCCAGACTCTCCTGTTTCCCTTTTGTTCAGAAGGTATGTGCGACCACTCTTGGGCTTTCATCTTGTGCCCTGTGTGCTCCCGGGTGAGGGGAAGGCTGGGGGTGGTTCTGCAGATGGAACCCCAAAGGCCCCCTCCTGCCCTGGCCAGGAGGAACCTCTACTTCTTCCCCCACCACAATCACCCACAAACCTGGGACCCAAAGCAGCTATTTCAGACACCGTCACCCAGGCCCTTTATCCAGGCAGCTCCATCCTGGTCAGTCTGTCACCATGAGCAGTGGTGTCAGCTCAGCTCTCCTCTGGGGCTGTCTGGACAGGTGCCAGGTACTCAGTGCCTGATCCTTGCAGGGCACCTGCGCACTAAGAGGCCTGAAGCTTTCCTACCCTCCCAGCTGTCTCTCCATCTGTGAAGGGGGCTCAGCAATAGCTCCTGCCTCCAGGGTGGGGAAGGGCAGGTGAGATGCGCCCGGATGGATGCCCGGGCAGTGCTGCTCAGGGCCCAGGCGCGCTCACTCCCTCACAAGATGTGCTGAGGGTGAAGTAAGATGAGACAGAGCAGCCAAGGCCCTTTCCTTGGAAGGATCACCCAGGAGAGGGAGGTTCCTGTGATGCGGGAGAGATCAGGAGTGGGCTGGGCTGGGCAGGCCCAGTGGTGAGAGCAGGCAGGCTCTCTGGCCCAGGAAGCAGGAGCTCCATGGCTGTCTCTGCTCCAGCCAAGTGCCCAAGAGACAGGGACAGGCTACTCTGCTGAAGCTGGATGATCCCACTGGGCCACGGGAGGCTGCAGCTCACCCCACCATCAGCCTTGCAGAAAGGAAGCTTCACAGACATAATTATACTGGTGGAGCAGAGAGGAGCGCTGGGAATCTTTTTTTATCCCCTAAGTGGCATTCTCTTATTCAAAGCAAGGAACAGAGAAGTTCAGAGAAGCAAATGGGGTCAGGGCCTGGGGGTTGGTTTCCATGAATGAATCTACTTCCTGGCATGACTGAAGGCCCTTCAGACCCAGGGAACAAAGGCACCTGGTGACCAGCTCCTCAGCCCTCCTAGGGGACTCCCGGCTTCCCCTCCCTCAGGGCTCACCTTTCATTTACCCTGGCAGCAGATTCTCCAGGCGGCACCCTGGGCGCAGGACCCCTGCGGTGGGGCCCTCACCTTTTTTTTTTTTTTAATGAAAAAACAAAGGCTAGACACTCAGGAAGCTGCTCCTGCAAGACCCCGTGGAAGCTGCCAGGCAGAGGTCTGGAGTGACAGAGAATCTAGAAGAGCCGGGATCAACTCGCCATTTGTTAGAGAGTCTGTGACCGCAAGGTGGCCAGACCATCGCCATCTACAGATTCACCTACCGCCTCAAAAGGAAGAAAGACAAGCGTTTACTGAGAGTTTAGTAAGTAACTGGCGGGTGGCAGGAGAGGGGCCCAGACTGGCCGTGTGACAGGAAGACCCCAGGCTGGGGCCTCCCCATGCTCTTGCCTAGGACAGGACCGAGAAATAAACCAGAATGCGGGGGCTCCCGCCTCCAGGTCCTGGGGAGCTCTCCACCCCTTAATGAAGTTGTGGGTGGGCAGAGCCAGAATGACAGCAGCAGGGCCATCTGCCGGGTGTGGGGTCACCGGAGGACGACTCAGCCCCACTGCTGCCAGCCTGACCATGCTGGGTTGTGCCTAATTGTCTCCATCACGGTCACAGTGAGGCGTGTGAGGGGAAACCCAGAGAGTTAAGCAACTTTCTGAGGTTGTGGGGCGCTCTGTTCTGGGACCCACAGAGCCAGCACCTCAGCACTGCTGGGGGCCTGGGACACACGGCCAGCTCAGCCCAGCTTTATGGCTTTAGGGGAGTGAGGTACCCTGTGAGGGATGTGGATACCACCCAGTGCCACATGGGGAGTCCTGGTGATGTCATCCAGTATGGGATGGAGGGAGGGCACTGTGCCCACTGTATGCCAGGCATCCTGCTGAGACGTGATAGCCACCGTCTCTGTTAACCTGAGATGAATTATCCCCACTTTTCAGATGGGTAAACTGAGGCTCAGAGCTTACACATGCATCGCAAGATCTGTACACTGTGAATGCCTGGGCCCAGGTGGACCCTGACGGTCCGGTTCCAGAGCTCAGGTCTTTAGCCTGAACCCAGTGACCCCAAACTGACCATCAGATGATGCACCTTTCTAACCGCAGGCACTGCCACCGGGACTAGCCAGGAGCACACAGCCCGCCCCACAGCGCAGACTCCCTCACTGGGGCAGCCACGGGGCGAGGATCACTAACCTCACCTCTTCGGAAGAAGCACTGATCAACTCCCTCCCTGAATTGTTAGGGGGTCTTAAAAAATTCGTGTAGCTAGTGGCGGCGGCAGTGTGTCACTAACATCATTTATAAAGGTGTTCACGGGAAACCAAGTGTTTTGTCTTTTTTTCTCAAAGATGCTCAGCTCTGTCAGCCACAGGGAGTGGATTTGGCTGTTACCAAAACCCACACGAGGAAGCCTCCTCCTGGGTTTCATAAACTGCACCTTCAGGATGGTTTGCACACCCTTCCCAGCACATCTGCTCTGCTGAGGGAACGTAAAGGGGCCCCCGCACACCCCTTTCTCCCATGGGCGCTGCCCAGCCTCCCAGAGGCGCCCGCTGGCCAGCTCAGGGCACAGCCACCTCCGCTGCCTCACAGGCTGCCCGAGAGGCCCCTGATGTGGGGTTCAGGCCCCAACACCCTGCTTCTCTGGGCTCTGCTGCAGCTCAGTCAGCCTGGGTGCTCTTCAAACGGCCCAGGAGCCAGAGGGGTGGGGCATTTTCTCTGAATTTTATGACTGCCTAACCAGAAATATCTGGAAACACGTGACTAAGATGCTGGGCATTCCCTGTGAGAGCCCGAGAGCCACTGGCCTCCTCCCAGCATCCTCCGTGGCAAAATGGTCATTATGCCCTGTCCCCGCTGCGTCCTCACGTCTTCCCCACCCCCCGCCTTCCTCTCAACATGGCCACTCGGGAGCTTGACACGCCTCTCCCTTTGGCATGGAATGTTCTTTCCCCAGCCCTTTCAGGGACACAGGGATGGCCATTTTGCAGGGAGGACGGGGGGGAAGGCGGGGTTCATGGACAAGGCAGGAAGCATATTCTCACCTTCCCATTGGTCGTCACCCCACAATATCCCATAGGAACCTCAAATCCAAAATATCTGAAAGTGAGTTATCACCTGCCCATGTGGTCCCCGCTGGTAATGGCGCCGATGTCCAGGAGAGCCAGACCCCGGATTCCTGCTCCCCACACCCTGGGCTCTTCTCCCAGCCACCCCGGCACAAACCACATGCTCTCTAGCCTACCTGCTGCTGGGGGTGCAAGCCTGGGTCACCCCGCCGACCACAGCTTAGACCCCATGTCCCTGCACTTCAAGCTCCTGGAGAGTCTCTACTGCCTTCCACGGGGGTTCAGGCCCCCGAATCTGGCACAAAGGACCTGGGAGCCCGGCCGCGGGTCCGCAGCCCGTCCACGCAGGCTGCCCAGTGGGCCTGCTGGGCATCTCTGGCTTCTCCAGAAGCTGTGGCGACTCCAGAAGCGCTGCACTTTCTCGCACCTCAGGGCCCTGTGCACGCTGGGGCTTCTGCCCCCAAATCTACTCCTCAGAGCCCCTTCCACTTGCCCCCTCTTCTTTTTGCTAGCTGTGTGGCCTTCTAGATCGCCCTTTACACCTCGCTTATTCCTGTACGATGGCCACCTCCAAGCCAGTCAGGTACCCCCTTTTCAGTGCTCCCCCATGGACCTGGCTTTCCTCGCTACAGCACATAGAATCACGGTGTCATCACTGTCATTAGCAGCACCAGGAGAACAGAGCATAAGATTGGGGGGTGGGGGTGAGGGAGAGGTGAATCAGTGTTGCAGAGGGCTACAATTTTTATGATGGAAATAGAGTCAGATTAGTTGAGCACATACTATGTCGAAGACAGACCAGGAGGTCTTGGTGTATTGAATCACAAGGCCTATGAGGTCGTTTCTCCACCCCCCTCACACACACGCGACCTTTCCTCCCGCCCCCTCCCCCTGAACCTCAGCAGCCTCCCTGCACTGATCAGCGTCTGCTCCTGTTTGTAAGGATCGGCTTGTCGGAAAAGTCATGACACATTTTTGCTTGAAAAACATAGTAAAAAATATGTCATGACTTTCCAACCACCCAGTATTTTTTTCCGAGGTGGTCCTCCCGCCCGCTCTGTACATTCTCCTATTTGTCTTTATCACTCTGGCTTGCTTTACTTCACTTCCTTCCCTCCAACTCCCACCATTCATTTCCCTGTAATCGGCAGCATTTCATCCTTCTGCGCAACGGTCTTCTTGTTCCAGCTCCATGTGGGCACTTAGGCTGTGTCCTGGCTACTCTAAAGAATCAAGATGATGCTAGCGAGTGCTCTGTGCCAGCCTCATCTAGTGCTTGTACACAGCACATTTACTTCACCATGGGGTGAAGGATAGAAGGAGTCGAAGGCCTTTGCCCCTACCCTGGCAGAGTGGGCTACTGAAATCCACACCATCTGCCACCTACGTCCATATTCTGGTGCAGGGTAGGAAACACAGTGCTTCCTGCTTCTCAAATCCTCAATTCGAATCCTGCCCCGGATTTACAGCCTGACCTTGGACAAGTTAACCTCCCTAAGCCTCAGTTTCTGTGTCCATAAAATGGGCCCGGGGTTAGACGGGGATGAAGGCCGTCCACTCGTGCCTACACAGGCTGGACTTGCTGGCCCTTCAAGAGGGACCTCCCTGCTGGTGAGAGAAAACCAGCATCAGAAGTTGAGAAGAACCACTTTCTTGCTTAGGGGTTTGGGGCTGGATTTTCAAGGATTACACATCCCCAGCCACTTTGAAATAAATTTTGAAAAACATAAAAATAACAAAGGCACGTCCACTTCTGTAGGGAAGTGTGAAGTCAGTCAGCCATGCCCCAGCCAGCCTGTCTCACTGCCCCCACCACCCCATGCGCCTGCTGGCAGCAGCGCTCCCCAGGTGTCTCAGCAAGCAGCGCTGCTGGCGGGACCCAGCCCTCCCGGGCGCCCTGCTGTCTTGGGAGCTGCTGGCACCAGGAGAGCCCTTCTGCATTCTCCAGAGACGGGCTGGCTGAGGTTGCAGAGCTGGAGGTGCAGGGAGCAGCCCCCATCCTCACCAGGCTGGACTACAAGCATTCAAGTCACGCCCGCTGTCTTTTCAAAGAAACCCCTTCCTTACTCCAGCCCCTCAAGACAACCTCCTCCTAACTCCAAGTCTCCAATGCCGAGCTCCTTCCTCAGAGCGGATAAGAGCCAGTCCCGGAGTCTGAATTCTGACTCTTCCCCTTTGCTAGCTGCAGAGCCATGGGCAAGCTACCTTGCCTCCCTGAACCTCAGTTTCCTCCTCTGGAAGGTGGAAAGGCCTCACAGGATATGTAAGACGCTGAGAAGCAGGCCTGAAACGTAGCATGTGCTGCCGTGTTGGCCGTTACCACCAAGAAACCCTGGCTCTGGGGCTGTCCTGCTTGGGGCACAGGCCCGGGGGGGTGGGCAGGAAGAGCACCCAGGAGCTTGCCGGGGTGAAGGTCCCCCCACCATCAGGCAAGGCCCTTCTCGAGGTCCACACCAGTGTTACTTCCTCCCACAAAGTTCTTAAAATTGTCCCCTCTCCTCTTTCTTCCATTCCACCGTGGGATCCTGGCCCTATCTGGAGGTCTTTTCCTGGAGAATGAACATCTTACATCAAGTCTAGCTCCATGTCCTCAAACCTAACTGCAGCATGCTTCTCCCAGCACAGACAGTGGCACGGCAGTGTGGGGAGCACACGGGCGCAGGGCTGGGGGAACTCCCAGCTGTGTGACCTTGGATAAGTCACTTACTTGTTCTGAGCCTCAGTTTCCCTGTCTCCACCACACAAGAGCACAGTGAAGGTTAAATGAGACGACACTGTCAAGTTCAAAGCACAAGGTTGATGCCCTCTTTGTGGATTAAGTATCTGGAAATTGGTGCTTAAAAAATACTTAATACTTAATTCCAGAAAGAAAGAAAAGAGTCTAACTCCTTATGTCACTGTAAAATAAATCACCATTTGTTTTGCCATCTGGTCTCATGAGTGATTATGCCAGAGAGACCCTGGAGACGGCAGGGGGCAGTGAGCACTGACGTCACCTGTCTGGATTCAGCAAATACCCCTGCGGCACCGAGATGAATGGAATCCACCTGACAGAGCTCAGGTGCTCACAGGGCCTCTCTGAGATAAGGGACACCGGGACCCGCTGATTGCAGCTGGCTGAGGACCAAGGGGTGCTTTATTATCTAGTCATGTGGGTCACGTGACTCCAGCAGGTCACCCCAACCTGGAGTCTCTCCATCCCTGAGCCCTTGGAGGGTGGGGTTGGAGATGGGATAAGAGATGAGGAAAGACTCAAGTAAGGGAGAAACTTGGTCTCCAACACGATGCGGGAACTGTTAGCGCAATGATTTGGTTTTCAGGCCACGTACAAATGGCCGCGGAGGTAAAACTCCATGAACGTGCCAGCGTCTGGATTTCCTGCCAGGACCCAGTGAAGGCAGGGAGGTTCTTCGGTACCAGTATCACTGCTTTCTACCTTGCCAGGGGCCCATGCGTGTGGGAGATGCCCTGCTGGCACGTGCTGCCGGCACCGGCGGAGCTCACCCTTGACAGGCAGAGCAGGGCCTGGCCATGGCCCACACTCCTTGCCCCCGAGCCCCGGATGCGTGAGACGCCAGCAGAACCCGAGTCCGCTCCCAGGGGTTGCGTTCTCTCCCCTGAGACACAGGGCACAGGCGTGCGCGGGTTCGGCCTCCCCCTGACCTGTTATCACCGAAAACTCAAGCAAAGGCCCATCTGCCGGCCGCCAGGCTACAGAGGGCAGGACCCACATCCGTGTCACTCGCGGCGTGTCCTGGAGCCTAGCGTGGCGCCGCGCACGCAGAACCATGTGCTGAACGAACACAGCGGGGGGGGGGGCGGATTTCATTTAAAACTTCTAATCATTTCATGCAGGGCCAAGGGAGGGCCACACACACTTAGGGAACCTTCACCTGCTGCCGGTATCCTCTGCATCATTTCCTGAACCCCCTCGGCCCTGAGAGGTGGAAACGCAGGTGACAACACTGCAGCTCAGGAGGCCCGAGTTTCAGGGCCCACAGGGTTCCGGCTCATTGTTGGCTCTTCTATTAAACTGTGGCCTCAGGGGCGTAGTCTGAAAGCCCACTGACAGGACGGGAAGTACCAGAACTCCCCCCTCTTTTGCTACCCCCCCAAATTAAAACCAGCAGACGCCTCCTTTGGGATCCCTTTCCTTTGTACCTCCACCATCGGCGCGACTTCCTCTCCAGGTCCCAGCCAGTGGAGACCACCTACTGCCCAGGCCGGCGGTGGGGGGTGGGG